TGGCGTGTAACGAAGCTCTATGTTCCACTAGGAACCCAAGAGAAAAATAATAGTAATAATGTATTAGCGGTTACGATTTTTCAAGAATCATTTGATGCGATTTAAAAACACTCATTTATGCACCAACCATGCTTTAAAAAAATATCCTAGTGCTTCATGAATAATTATATAATTGTGTTGGAGCGGTAATAAGTGATACAAGCAGTGATTCCAACTTTTTGCATCCTTCAGAGTATTTCTGCTCCAAGTGGTCACTTAATAACCAACTGGTCAAAAAGGTTGTTCAAGTATTAACTTCAAAAGACCCTTAGCTATCGCTGGTGGTAACTTATAAGGTTAATTTCACACCCTCAATAAGCTTACCTACTGACTTAAACAAACAAATACAAATGATGTAACATATTTCAAGCTATCCTGAGCAGTTCTGTTGGTTATCAACGGATTATTTATTTCAGAGTTGAATTGAATAGCTTTTCCATAATTCTTGTTTTAGTGGGGACCAATATTAGTAAGAATTTACGCAGATAGGCTATATACTTAAGATTATTTCCGGACACTTTTGCTTTAATTGTGCACAAAGAAGATATAAAAAAGCATTTTGTACCTTAAAATGTCTGAATAAATGGCGTAGAAATGATTAGCAAAAATAAAGGATGGTCAATGAAGAAATCTTTTTTTTCTCTGAAAAATCTATTTATCATGCATTTCACTGAATTTTTTTTCACAAAATGTTTTACTGAAGTATTTTATTATCTCAGTCTTTATTTATTATTTTCAAATTCATTTTAATACTAAACTGAAGCGTTATGAGACGTGTGATAGCATATCTGTGAATGTGTGAAGTACAATTTAATCTAATCATAAACCTGTCCTTATCCTACTTCAATAAAGAATTGTGAAAGACATGTGATGATAGAAAGAAAATACCTGGAACTGAATTATTGAGCCATTCCTTTAGGGTTATACACAATTGTTTATCCAGTTGGATAAACTATACACACGCAACGCTTTTTTAATCATACTGAATAAAGATACAGTTATCCAGGTAACGGAAATATATATATATATATATATATATATATATATATATATATATATATATATAACAAACTACCACGCCTTATATCCATGACAACATCTGTACTAATATCCAAATTACTAGTTGACTGTTGTTTGTATTTTTTCACCGTTAGCATCACTTTCAGCAATACTTTAGTCCAAATATGGCAATGGTTCAATGATTTTATAAGATTCAACTCTTTATCACAAAATGTTAGTTCAGAATTCGATTATAGAGTGGGTAATTTCATCATCAAAGAAATTAATTAACAAATCTACATACTTCTTTCCAATCCCATTTTAGACGTAAATATGAAGAGTTTTGTTTGGGCATGAATTTCAAAGTAGATAAGCATATTTTCACTATGACCTGGAAAATGGAATTTGTTTATCATTAGACGTAAACGTATGTACTGGTTAAATATCTTGTAACCTGGGAATAGAAAACTTTAAGACAAATTTACGTGACTAAGTTTTGTAAATTTGATCACGAAATCCACCCTCGTTTTTAGCATTATTGCAAATCCTGAATCGATAAAAAAAAGTGAAATGGTACAATCTCAAGGAAGTGAGATGCTAACGGATACTTAAGTTGAATGGTATGACCAGTAGAACGTGTGCTTTTCAATTCCGCATTTATTAGACTACCCTTGTCTAATACAAAATAGAAAATTGAACTTGTTTCATATTTGCGATTCAATATCATTAAATTCACTTCATGTTTAAAGCTTAGAACCATTTGGTTAGAAACACTTTCTGATTAAATATTCCACGAGGTGAGAAAACGTATATCTGAAAAGGTGTAGAACTTTTTAAATTGGCTAAAGTCATTTACTGACAAATGCTGGAGGTACAAACATTAACTCTGCAGTGAACGACCTTTTATTTAACGTATGTTTCTCGAATTTGACAGTGACATTAACAGTACTGACTATTATGTTATGCAACCAAGACCATCCACCTGAGCTTCAAATATTCCCCACTATTTCAAAATTATACGAGCGGAACACTCCACGTTGTTCGAAGATAGAAGGAGTTCTCTAAAAAGAAAGCTTTCACAAAAGAACAACTATTCTTTCTCCGTGAGTACCTACTTCAGAATGTTCTGCCGAAGAGTGTTAGACATAGACCACCGATTAACTATCCAATGGGATGGAAAATAGCTGAATAAAGTGGAAGACAAATGGTACAATTAGTGGTCACAGATGCATTTAATCGGATCTGGAAATATTAATCAGCAATTACACGATTAAACAACCCAGCTCAGAGAACACAATGCAGCCAATACCATCCACCTGAGCTACAAATATTCTCCACTATTTATATAAACTTCATGTGTATGATCAATAATGTACACGGTTTCTGTAGTCACAAGAGCTAGTAGCGAAATAAGTAATGTTGCATCTTTGAATTTGGAGATTTTACGAAGATTTATAGACTTCAGGTTAGTATTCATAACGGTCTGAAATCAGTTGTAGAACTACTGAAAAATCGGGACCAGCAGATAGCCGTTTGGTCATAACGTTCAATTTTCCTGACGGGTACATTACCATCAAGTCACTGGGTCATAATCTAAAAGTCTACCTCTTCCCATTTCCATCATTTCGCGAAATAACGTAACCTTTATCCATTGATATCGTTGAGTATTTGTCCGTAAATACGACTTGGTATTCCCCACCAGTTACGCCTTCTCGTTAGACATTCAGGAAGTCTCATCTCTGTTTCTTTGTACAAACTGGTTTAGCTAAAGAAATGCAACATTTCAAACTCTATACCCCAAAAGTTAGTAAACGTCAGCTCAAAAGCGATTTCTCTAAAAATTAAAATTAATTATATCCATTCTTCGAACCATTCAGCCCAAAAACGTATATTATTTACGATGCGATGAAAAGTAACAGGAATAATGGTAAAGCAACAGTTAATTCGAAGCAATATTGATTCCCTCCTTCAGTTGGTAACAATAACTCAAGTTCAATGTCATCCAAGTTTCAACCAAAGCATACTGGTGCACCTCCTTACCGTTTGTTTCAAGGCGTAAGCTACTGATCAGAATCAAAAGAAGCAAAGTAATCTTTCATCGTCATTCTATTCACTTCTATTCACACTTATGACAATATCAATTTTGGACATAAGAGATGTAACACACCAACACTTCTTATCATGCATATTATCATATATTTCGCCAAAAATAAATATAATGATTCGCCTATGCAACATTTAAAACTACAGATATCTCATATGAACCCTATTCAACCCTTTGTTTTTCTAGGACATAATCAAGAAAGAATCTATTAACTTGGATTGGGAATTTAAGCTTTCTTTAGTAACCGATGTTGTAAAGGTCAGTGGTGTATTCCTTTTTCCTATGGAAACATATTCATAGTTAACTATTTTATTTAGAAGATAAATTAATCAGCTGCTTGTTATATCACTCTAAATTGTAATTACCTTGAATAGCCTGTGCTTTCATTTTCAAGACTGAACACAGTTTGATATTTAAAAACTTTTTCACGAGCTGAAACTCACCAACTACTCGTATGTTAATTCTTGTAGGTTCCAAAGGTCTTAATGAGACTAAGGCTCAGTGTTTGTTCATACAAATAACAGAATATTGCTCAAAAGCGATACCGAGTCACTGTACAGAATACTAGTAAAGATTGACCAATTCATTTCAGTTAACTCTGCAACAGAAAAGATACAAACATCTATCAAAATTATATATAATCTGTTAAGTGAGCGGTTATCCAAAAGAAACCGTTGAAACACCCCCTGAAATTCTAATTGCCGAAAAAGAAGAAACCAAGTTGAATGATACCAGCGTAATTATTAGTGAGCTGATTGAGAAAGAAAGCGCTTCAAAACTTAGTATTCCAAACAAACACAAAGTGAAAACAAAAACTGATGAATAACACTTCATAAAAAGTATGTGATAATACGATTTACTTAGAGTTGAAAAGTAATGAATGTCCTTTGCTTCAATGACCTGATAACGACTAACCTGACAGCTAAACTGAAGGTACTCAAGTCAGTCATGTAATGGAATTAGACTGTTTGTTTTACAGGATTTCAAAAGTAGAAATGAACAACTGTCTTGTGGTCTCTTATTTTTACCAATCATTTTCGTGTTTACAAGTTCTACCATAGAATTAAAACTTCATGAGTGGATAATGCTTCATCAAGACGTCTCAAGTTGTCAGTATACATTTGAAAAGATGTTCATTTGTCATCGAAATTTGGTATCCTGCCCAGTTGTTCATGCATTGACTCAGATTAAAATGTTTTCGCTCCATTATAGAGAGCACAAATAGTTTTCTTAGAAATATTCACTTACTGTCTTATCAATTTTTGGCTCATTTCGTGCAGGGTTTATTGGTTAAACAAATCTTACATAATGCTATTTACTGCAGGTTAGCAACATAGAAGTTTAAGATGCATATTTTGAAATTAAGCAGGTAACTGCCAAAATGTTTCCCTTACTATTAACCGCAATATGAATTTTGGAGTAAGATTTTGGAATTTAGGGGGTAAGAAGCCTTACATCTTGGTTTCACATTTGTTGGCATTCATCAGAGAGGAGTAACTGGAACAACGAGGAAGCTAGTGTTCAGCTGGTAATTTAAAACCCACATCACTTAGTGTTCAGCTTCGAGATTTCTCCAATAAACAATAAGGATCATAACTGACCATTTGCTTAACTTCGTTATGCAAATGAATTAGTTACCAATCGGTAACCGATGTAAGACCACTTACTATCAACCACGCAGACAAGCACAATGATTACTTCATTTTTTGTTAATTTTGATGAATTGATCAAAAGTAGTCTAAGAATATTATTCAATCGAATACTTTCAGATTTACCAGTCTTATATTACTCGTGTGATGTGTCAAAAGATTTTTTAGTGACACAAATTTGCTTCATTTTCCTTTCATTTGAATCAAAGGGCATGAGGTATATACACTCAAGTCCACTGAAAAAGCATGGATGGCTAAAGTCAACAAATTGTTGTGTAGATGGTCGATGGGTTGTAAAAATCACAGATTATGGGCTACCTGATATTTATAGTATATATGGGACAAGCAGAAAGATAAAGGATGAAGGTATGATATTTAATATATATACATTTGGATTGTTTTCTCTCCGTGCTTTTGGTGAAATGTTATATTTATATGACAGTTTACTGTGAACTATTTGTTTTATTTTGCGTGGATGCCGACCTTAGTCTGGTTCATTTTAAACTCCGCATAGAAATATAGTTATGAAATAATTATATGTGATTCAGCGACCAGCTGCAAGTTTTTGAAGTCAGTAATGAACCGTTCCTACTGTTTGAAGCTGATAATACTATCTACCTCCTAAAACCTCAGTGGAGTGAGCAGAGTTCGAATCAGTATAGTTCACCCACCAATGAAAATTCAATAAATTTGTCCATTCTGCCTTGTTGGTCCACGTAGTGTATAGAAATCCATTTCAGTTACTTTAATATCTGTATTGTTAATTAGGGCGAAAAAAGTATAGAATCTGTTTGTAGGCTAACAACAGAATCCAGAACGCGTGTTTCGTCCCATCTGAAACCCTTCACCTGCATGGACCTGAATGGTTTTGTTATCACTGGGACCTGAACTCAGTAACCATTGCTTCAAATTCGAAAACGTTATCCACTGAGACACTAAGGCATAAGAACCACATCTTGTCCGACGGCTGTCAGTTGTCTTTTGATAACCGTATTCTGGGTCGAACTGCTAGACAAACGGGACCGCTTTTCACTCAAATTTCACCTACTTGTAGATATTCCTTATCTGAGAAGACAGTGACTTCTAACTTGGACTCAACCTTTTTTGTTTTAACTTTTACAAAATAATCTTTAATAATTTCATTATGAACACTGATGATAATTTCTTTCATACGCAGACTCACTGGTAAGTCTTGGTACAAGTAGGCGAAGAAAACATCTGCCTATTTATATACTAGAAATGAATTTTACACGATCTTTGTAATTGATAGTGGAAGAGGTTAACTTCTAGTAGGTAGAAGGTAGTAAGATAATAGTTATGATTGTGTTTATTCAAGTTGTCAAGTAACTTTTAACAATGACTATATCAGAATATGGTCATTTTCCATTTTAGAATAGTTCACAAATACTCACTAACAGATATGCCTGTTTAAAACGTTCTCATTATTAGTTTTTAGAATAGTTATCAAAGTTCATCTGCTTTAATTCTTGCTTTTAGGAAATTAAGAGAGAACCGTTCATTTAACATTGTTTTTTACTGATACTGAAAGCTGACCTTCCAGTAGAATATACTGACTGACGCATTACATCAGTTATCATGATTGGTTCATGTGTGGAACAGAATTTGACGCAACTAGGTGTAAAAATAGCTGTATTCATTGTTTTATCCCCGAATGTAACATTGATGTATGAATGTGAAGAATAGTTTAGGTTTCTCTACGACTTTATGTCTTTATGGTTTACCAAGCCTTTTCTGAATTCTAGGTCAGCCGGTCATAATGACTGCTTCCAATTAAGCACATAAGCATTAGGCGGGTTACAAAAGAAGTCATGCAATACCGCTAAGGGAGAAAGCCCCAATGTCTAGCGTATCTACCTTCACCTTCATAGCAAGGTCGGCATTGAGTGCTGGATTTGGATTATCCTATCCAGGTCGGCAGCACCTAACACTCATTGTTCTCTTAATGTCAACCCACACTTTTCTGTCATGATCAGACAGTGGCATTCAAGGCTCTGAGCCCTTTCTGATTGCTTGGTCAGCAGACAGTTGATCAGGTTCAGCAGACAATCGTTGACTGCCCTCTGAAGACCCATTCCCTAGGAAGAGGGATTGACACAAACTCCTTCACTTTGAGCTTTCGATATCGACCACTGGTGCAATCACTAAGGTCCACCTCATCATAAACCTGCTACCCATATCAAAAATAAGGGCTAGCACTCCGGATAACTCGTTCCTAATAGCATGTTACATGAGGGATACACCAGGTTTATGTCCTGCAGCCTTCGTCGTAACTCGCACGCATCGTGAGATCCACACTTTTCTGTCACCGTGACATGTCAAACAGTATTTCACCGTGAAAAGCATTGTCAGCCTAAAGGGTAGTTATCCCGGAAGGTATATATACTTCTGATTAGCTTCACCGTTACCCATGCTGAAGAAGGTTTCTTTACTTCGAAACCCTTGTGCTGGACAGAAATATCTGATGCTGAATTCGTTCACAACTTGGTACCTCCTTGACAACGGATAACACGAACAGGTCTACTGTCGTGTAACTTAACTCCCCCATCTTGTGCACACCCAAGTTGTCACATACGACTTAAATGTGTGCCGTAGATCAGGCATGTGGACGATTACTTGAAATACCGCAGCCATCAGAACTGTCTGGTAAGCCAGCTTATGATAAGTAAATGTTCGTTGTCTGCTAGGTATTTGGTCAGTAGCTCATAATACCTGTGTCAGATACCGAGATATTTGGAAACACTGAGACAGTTACGGTTAAAATAAATCTGGTAAAGTAATTGGAGCTTTTGTCCTGGATATCAGAGATTCGAGTTTCACTTACAAACTGTTGCGAGCTGGTTGCAGCTTCATAGGCCCAAAAAACTTCCATTCTTCTCCTAAACAAATTCCGAGCTTATTCGGTAAGTTAGCCCCTATATTCCTTCCCTAAATCACTGCTATGGATTGTTTGTGACTACTTCTTCAAGATTTATTGCTCATACGTCGCAGAAATTATTTAGAAGTCTGTTTTAGGTCCTTACCATCTTACACCACCTAATTAGTTTTCAGTTAGAACTTACCCACCAAAATCTCAAACAGTAAATGTTATACCACCCATTAATAAACAAAGGAGAACGAACTTGAGAATAGTAAAATAAGAATCTCTCATATTTGTTCCATATTTTGTCAATATAGCTGTTATGTCACTTTATAATCACTTTGTACAACAATCTTTCTCCCTTTTTGGTTAAAATAAAGAGTTATTATGGACAGCACCGGAACATTTACGTGAAGAAACAAATGTTCATGCTGGCAGTCCAAAAGGTGATGTTTATTCGTTTGCCATTTTAATGCAAGAAATAATTACTCGTGATGACCCATATGGGATGCTTGGATTAAGTCCATCAGAGATATTAAGTAAAGTTCGTAAACCACCACCTTTATGTAGACCGAAAGTGAGTATAAAAAGCCCCCTTTTGTTTCTATACATTATCGGTTGTTGTTTTGCATAATCGAATATAGCAATATTCACGGTTGATTTCTCCACTCTCACAAACTTCTCATATGGATTTACTAATGTCTTATGCAACTTGTAAGCAAATGTTCGAGTTGAGTAACTATTACTCATTAGTGAAGCCAGATACTTACAATTTAACTAACCATATCAGGATTGAATTCCCATGAGGTAGATAGATTACAATTCGGTGATTGATTCACACATATTGTGTAATTCTACCCAGTTGTGACCTAAATAGGTGACTAGATAAGTCTCTACATTCACTACTGAGTATAGGGTTCAAATCTGCAATCAAATATAAGTCTCCTCATGGTTGCTTACACGCCATACTTATGAGTTACAGCAAGAATGGAACTTTAATCAAGAATGTGCAGCAGATTAGTCCCCAACATCTAACTGTAATATGCCATAAGTATTTCAGAAGCAGATAAATTTGTTTATAAAGAGCCAAGTTAAAATCTAGTGGTTATTGAGCTTATCGAGAAAAATACTCTTAGATTATCTAAGACTTTCAAATCTACAATCTGAGTAGTGTAAATAACTGCTCACTGCAATGAATAATAATCTTGTGAAGGTCAATCTTCGTGTAGGAGTATTGCTAAAACAAGCCCCTGAGTTAGATAGTACAACTTATGCGACAGTTGTTTACCTCAACAAACTTTCATGTGTCCTGTGAATTCCTAGAAGCTTACTGATTCTTAACCGGTAAGTGAGAAAAAAGATTTTCTAATAATTACTGAATGTATCACATAAAACATGTTTGAGTAAATACCCCTAAATCCGCATATGGCTTTTATGTATGTAACTGTCCATCCACGGAGTTGAATAACTGTGTCTACACTCTTCTAGTTATTCTGGTTAAGCATTATTTGACTTCACTTTTTAATGGTATTTACTCGATATTATAGGACTAATTAGTTGTTAGATTGATTTTAACAAAGTGGAAGCAAAACCAGTATTTTGATAATTCTTGTGCATTTTTAAAATTTTTAGGCCAACTGACTGCTTTATAGTCATTTATAATAGCAAAGTTATATCTACTGGGGAAGCATTGAAAGTCTATGAGGATTGGACAACTACTTTGACCTCACCCTTGAGCACCAAGATGTCATTTGGGATGGAGTTGACACCTTCCAGACTGACTATAAATATATTGTCACGAAAATAATTTGTGATGAAAGCTACCTTTAAATCCATTAATTACTTATAAGCCAAGCAGTAGAAAGATTCTTAATAAAGTTATATTAGATAACATTCATTAGACTTGTGAGTTATGCATAAAGTTGTATAAGGCTTAATAAAAACTAGATGCAAGTAGAAAATATATATTATGAATATCTATATTCCCCTGATTCAGATCATGATGGTCTACACAGACAGCTGTTTCAGAACTGGGACGTTTTTAGGTCGGAACCACACTGTAAAACACTGAATTACACCAATTTTAAGAAAAATATTTCCTAGCTGATTTATCCCATCAGTCTTGGGTATGCGGCAACAAAGCCTGAAAAACGTAGTTCTTAGGTCTATGAAAAGTGAGTCCCAATATTTTTATTCAGAAGAGAAAAAAATTCAACCTAGTATGGCTGATTGTTTTCATCCATTGCTTCCGACACCATTTACCAAAGTGTATAAAGTCACATCTGCTTTTCACAAAATAAGTAAAAGAAATCAACATGACTTTTGGCTAAGAGAAAAAATATGCAACTACTTTACTGTCTTTAGGCAACAAAATAGCCAATTAACTTCACCTTTCTTCGTCTGTTCGGGCTGCTTAGTTTTTCTTAATAAATGTAAAGAATCCTCAGTATGTTTTACGTTATAACTATTAATGCTTTTGTTAGAAAAGTATGGACAGCAAGTTTCTTCATTAGGCAGTGAAAGTGCACTGCCCAGAAGAACTGAATACTATGTAATGTGGTTGTGAAATAACTCTAGGTGATTCTTTGCCCTAGACAACATGATTGACAACTAAAACAGAAGAAATAGAAACAGTCAATTAGCCGCCAATGCAATGAACAACAAAAGACTCATAATGCATGATACTACAGCTTTTGTAATAGTTCTTATACTATAGATACGAGTTTAGGATTGAAGATGAAGTGAAAACCTTGGTTACAGCAGAATTCTAACCAGAAGCCTAAGGGGTTCTGGCCCATCGCCCTACCAAACGAGTTAAGAGACAAAACTGTTGATTAGGTTATAATTTTATGCCAACTGCCAACGATTGTGGCCAGTGTACTTGATCTCAAGTATTCGATTTATGGAAAAACTGAATTTTCGTGCTAATGAATCCGGTCAGCGACAAAATGCATCAAAGCAGAAAAATCATAGTAATTATCATGTAGAAGTATATCAGGGAAATGAGGAGGAAACCTCACATTAAAAATTATGGGAAAGATTCATAGCTTAGAATGTCGATGACAATAATTTGGTCTCCTCAGAGAATAACAATAATGGCTTTATTCTGAAAGCTATTTCTAGAATACTGTACAGAACTTCTAGCATGTCATTCAGCATCAGTTAGACGGAGACAGTGTGTATATATAGATACCAAAATGAAATGAGTATAAATTACACTTTAAAAAAGATAAGAATATTCAGTCTATCTACAACGTTCTTGACAATGTACAGTTAATAAGGGGGGGGGGGGGAAATCACATTAGCAATTAAGTTCATAATATCACTATTTATTGACATACTAATTGTTCTCAATTGTTTTGTTGGGTCGAATTGTTCGACCTGTATTGGTATACGGGCTCCTATGCGGATGCCTCTATATTGCCTGAATGTCAATTATGATAATTTAGTCGGTAGAACAATTCCACCCAACAAAACAACCGAGGATCACAAGTATATAAATAAATAGTGATAACTACTACCCGTTGCACAAGAAGTGGCTGTTGTCTCTCCGTGGCATAGTGGATAACACCTTAGCGCTTGAAGCGATGGGTACGAGATTCGAGTCTCAGTGGGAACAACACACCGCACTGGGGTGCAGGTGCACCTGGCTGATGAGTCTCGAGTAGGAGGAAACGCGCATCCTGGATTGTTCTACTAGCCATAACCAACCAAATTATCATAGGTTCATAACAATTAAGTAGCAATGTGCCCATGATCAAATGGTTCGCCCCTACTTTCATTATACAGTCACTATGACAAACTTTATTGACTGAATCTAATCTGGTTGTCAGCACCTCCAAATGGATAAAATAAAGTTGTTTATTTCAGTCTTTGACGTGCACTGAACGACTCTTAATGGTATTATTAAAGGTATTTGGTAGGCTACAGTAAACTGGCAAAGAAGTTTCACTTCTACAAATAACATAACATGTACGAATAATTACTTCTATATATTTATTTGTAGACACATCTTGCTGATTTCATTTTGAGAAAAAATGCCTAATTTTCTGCTAACTGATTCTGTTTTGTGTTGTTTACACATCTGATATGTATCTTATCATAAAGGTTTCACAATCTGAAGCACCGCCAGCCTATATAGAGTTTATGAAACGTGCATGGGCAGAAAGTCCTGTAATGAGACCAACTTTTGAAGAAATTTATCAACAGCTTAGACAGCTCAATCAAGGAAGGTAAGATTGGTATGCACTGTATGTGTTTTTTTTAAACTTCTATCTCTGAAACAACAGTTAGATCTTTGTGTTGACCTCGTCTGACTGACAGTTGTGAAAGAGTCACCTAAAACAGCCTTATAATCAACTAGCTTGTTCACTTCTACAAATGGTTCTGCTTCATCCGATCTAAAACAAGATATAGGCGATGAGTGCGAAATCAATCAGGATGTTTAAACAGCTAATGTTGGCATCTTCATATCAAACTTAAGTTGACATATCACAGGTCGATGATTCAGATATTGAAGGTTCACCTTTAACTTCGATTTCAGTTACTTCTAAAGTTAATCATTATTCATTCATAAAAGGTATAAAAAGTTATATAAAACAACTCATTTTATTGCAGGAATAACCAGGATGTTTCAGAGGAATTTGGTTCCAGGATTATTATGACTATCACCTTTTTTTATCCTATTATCAAACCTACGAATCCTCACTTAAAATTGACTTTGAGTTACTTTCAAGTTGAAGATGGTTTCGTCAAGAAACTGACTTCAGTCGCTTGTATAACAAAGTGATACCATATTATTTAACTGATGAAGTTTCGAGCGTAAATTATTGCTCATAATCATATAATATACTTTTAAAAGCAGTGAAACTCATGAATTTCAGTGGTCGGTTATGCACTGACTAATCGTCAGAATGAACGGATGATACATTAAACAATAACCTACCGTTTATAAATCCAAGCAGAATCACAATTATCCCCTAACGCAGAAATTCACGATAAACATTATTTTGAAGGAATCAACTAAAAACTATTTGATGATTTTATCATTTTAGGAAAATTAATATTGTTGATCACATGTTTAAAATGATGGAAAAATACTCAGCTGATTTGGAAGATCAAGTACGCGTACGAACGGAAGAATTGGAAACTGAGAAGAAAAAAACCGAATTACTAATAGCGAGAATGCTTCCTCCGTAAGTCTTCAGATAAAATAATTTTATGGACACAGGGTCTTTAGTTAAGTGAATCAAGATAAAATATTCGATGCACCTTGTTAATGAAAACTACCAATTTGACGTAAAGCGAATAAAATTACTTATACTAACTGTATATGATAAGTGAGTTTCCAACAAAGAACGAAATGAACTTAAGCAAAACCTCTTCTGTGGTCACAAGTAAATTAATAATTTTGTAGATTGAGTAAACTAACCGATATACTGTTAGTTACTTTAGATGACCGGTGAAGTGGTAAATCAATGGTGTGTTTTGCTAAATCTGGGAAATTCAAAAGAAAATTTCTTTCGTTTGATGTTGTATGAATAGTTTAACATTCCAAGCTACCAACATTATATAAGTTGATATTTTATGAACATATCCAGGGTGAAAATGGTACTTGAGCTTTTATTCAGAAATGAGTTAACTATATCATTCAATCAATATTAGCAAGGGACATAATCTTGTCTTAGTTGCACAAGAGGAGATATATTTTCACTGATGACTGAAAGCTCCATGATCCCTTAAAACAGAAATAGAGAAAAATATTCAAGTAGCTGTTTTATGTATTCTATATTTATTTCCCAGATATTTGAGGCCGTTCCCTCTTACTGGAAATCTTAAAAACAATCGATTTCCATCAGAGTTTAATTTCATTACCTGCCAGATATTCATTATCACAAAATATTATTCCACTTGTAATTTTTGTACTCCTCGTAGCACTACTCGTAATTATTACCAGTAGCAAGTTTTAATAATTTAAATTAACATGAAGAGTCAGTTTTAAATTTTGCCTCAACCAAATTTAGCACCAAAATGCCAGCCGTAGTCTATTGTACCATGATAAAACATTGACTGAAAATCAAAGCTCAGATTTAAAGTAAGGATGCAGATATACCTAAGAAATTAGAGACACTACGCTATTAACAGAATTAATGTTTATTAACCATTACTGACAAAGTTCTTCATGATATTTCAAGAAGAACTATCGATAATGTATGATCAGTTGGGTAAAGTGAGTCGGACACGGCGACAAATATTCAACTATGGCATGAGATGAGTCCTGGGCTACATCACGAATTCAAGATTACTATCGTATATTAACGTTCGCTTGGAAAACAGGGCTTCAGTAACACGTCTCCATTTCACTCTCCTCTCTGAGGTCTTCCCAACCTCGCTCCACACTCCCCACAAAACCCTTCATTTCTTCTTCACACCACCTCCTCCATGTCATCCTAGGCATCGACGCCCAACTCGTCTTTTCACATTCGGCTTACACTCGATGACCTGGTCTGGCGCGTGATATCCACAGACAGTCTTCTCACTGTATCCCCAATCCAATCCATATCCACTTCCTTCTCCACAATTGTTGGGTCATGCATGGGTTCTTGGTTGGTTCGTTGCCAGCAAACCACAGTTCCTTCTTAATCATTCTCATTATTCTGGCCATCTCATCTTCAGTGTCAGTGTCGAGTGAGAGTAGGTGGCAGCAGTTGAAGTATGATGTCTGCAGTCTGTTGGAAATGCCTTTCATAACTCACCAAGTCTCTAAACCGTATACAAGCAATGGCTTCACATTATTGTTGAAAATCCGGATCTTCTTCACGCTCCATGATAAGTCCAGTGCAGTGCAGCAGATCTCCACACTGATTTCAGATTGACGAACGCCTGTCCTGCTGTCTTTCCGATCCTGGTTTTGACGTTCCCATCTGTGCTGCAGCCCGCACTTGAAATGATGATGCCCTGACCACGCAGGTGAAAGAGACTACTTCCTGTAGGCTTCTTCCACATATGCTGATTGGTTCCTGCTGTTCTTCTTACTCGGGTATCTTCATCACCTCTGCCTTCTCTACATTCACCTGAAGGAGGTGTCGTCTTCTCTGACCTACCTCTTCTGTCAACTTGTTGGTTTCCGTCTTCAAAGGCGTCAATGAACTTCCCATTGTGAATAATTCAGCTCGCAGCATTATATAGCTGTTGTTAAGTGAGGTTGGTGGAGGTTTGTGGTACGTCGTAGTGTTGGAGTAGTTTCCAAATTACTTCTCGGTCGACCCCACTGAACGCCTTTTCAAAATCGATGAAGTTGAGGAGCAGGTACATTTGACTGTCATTCTATGCTCTGTTCCATGATGATGCTTAGTGTAGTGCCGCAATTTGATCCACACATGATTTGTTCTTCCTGAGCCCAACCAGCCTATTCCGGTCATACTTTTTATTCCAGAGAACCTTTTAATCTCTTCAGGAAGATTCGCCATAATGTTTTGCTCACCTAGGGTGGACAGGAGTATGATTCAACTCCAGTTCTTGCAAAGACGTAGGTCAGAAATTCTTTGACAGCTTGACGAGATAGCCCTTCTTCCAAACCACAGGTACCTTTCCTTCCTTCTTTCCTTCCTTCCTTCCTTCCTTCCTTCCTTCCTTCCTTCCTTCCTCCCTTCCTCCATTCTTTCTTTCTTTCTTCCAAACCTTCTGCAATGGTCGTATGGTGTGAGCATGTCCACTGATGTCTCTGCATCGGTTTCAGTGCTTCTGGAGGAATTCCATCTGGTCCTCCAGCCTTCACGGATTCCAGTAACCTCATGACGTTCAGGACTTCAATTCTGCTCTCGTCGGAGTGCTTCAGTTCACTGTTAGTCCTGTGGTTGAGCTGCTGGTGGTATTTCTGGTCGAAGTGCAGGTGGTGGTCGATTCAAGAGCTTTTCGAAGTGGTCAATCCATCGTTTCTTTTGTTCCTCTTCCTCGGTAACAGGCTTCCCCTCACTATCTTTCATCAGTTTCATCCGAGTTGACCTCTTCCCACCCTCCACCCTCCCCCCAGATAGTAACCTGGTTATCCGATATAATGTCGTCAGGTATCCATCTCTCCTACCAGCAGCCTGTTCTGCTCCACTTGCCGATGTGTCGTAGAACTGTCTCCTGACTTTCCGCTCACTCTTCCTCACCTCTTTGTCCAGTCTAGTCTTCCATACGTTGTACTCAGTTCCTCTTCTCGTCGTTCATCCTTGCACTCCTTTATCTTCTACTTCACCATCCTCCTCTCCCCTCTCCATCAGCTTCCATGTGTCTGTCGAGATCCACTCCTTGCCTTGTCTTCTTTCTTCTTACTTCGTAATAATGTTGTGGAGGTTTCCTTAAACATCTCTTCCAAGTAGTTCCAGTGTTTATACACACAGGTTTACTCAGAGATGTTGCTCAGTGTCTCCCATTTTGTCCTGATGACTGACGTGAAGAGATGTCCTTTGTAGTTGTTTCGTCCTTCACCTTCCACTCTGGGTGTTCAACTTGAACTGTGGTCGTCTATCACTAACTTACTTGAAGGCTTTCAACTTTATTTTGAACGTTCTTTGAATTAGATAGTGGTCTGGACCTACATCCACTCCCTTTCTTGATCTGATCTGATCCGATCCTGTATCCAGCAGGCTGGCTGCGTCTCCACTTTCCTCACATTGAGATGAAGTCGATCTGATTCCTAGTGTGTCCATCTGGTGAATGGTGAAGTCCATGTCGCTTTGTGAATATCCTTGTGTTTGGACACAGTGCATCCAATCGACAAATCGTTGAATGCACAGAAGTCTGCAGTCAATTCTCCATTCTCGTCCATTTCACCGAGTGCTTCTCGACCCACAATGAGTCATCTCACTGTGTTGTCCTCTCCGAGTCTGCCATTCATGTCACCCCACCCATTAGAATGGATTTTGATGTCGCCAACTTGGGTTGGGTGTTGTCCAGTACTGATTTCAGTTGTCTGTAGAATTCCTCCCTCTCCACTTGATCTGCATTATTTGTAGTTGAGTAGTGTAGCATTGTATGATTACTTTGGGTTGAATCTTCCTGTTATGATTCTGCAGGAAGAGATTGGTTCCCACTGTATGACAGCCATCGATTTTCTTGGAGACATCATGATAGGCACTACAAAACTCATGGTGCTCATGGTTGTCGTTTGAGTGACTGGAGTAGATCATTGACTCTCTAAGTGGAAGTTTCGAGAGTCCACTTCCATTTTTCTGCAGATTTCTTGCAGATTCCTATCACTTCAAGGCTATTCCTTCTCATCTATTTTGCAATCTGGGTTGCCTTGCCAGCCAGCTTCAAACATTATGCGGACATTCTGTGTCCCCAATCTTACTGTCGCTTTCATCGACAGAAGAAAAGACACATAGTTGAAATGGCTTTTCAAAGGTTTTCATCAACCGGCATCACTTCGTCTCCCCAATTCCAGTAAGGATTGAGTCAATTTTCATTTTTAATATTTTCTCTGTGCTTTGAAGTTTTTTTTGGCGATTGGATTTGTTTTACGGGGTAGGTTTGCTAGCCCTATGCCCAACCTTTCCTCTTCATCCAGGCTTGGGACTGGCTAGTAACTAGTGAACTAGTTATTTAGGCGAGGTTACGGCGAATCAATAGAAGTAAGAAACTGTAGATCATTGGATTCTAACCCACTGGCTCAATGGGATCATGCTTACCGCGAAATGTTAAGGTCCCGATTTCAACTCCTGTAGAGTTCTTGATTGCGCACTGGCAAGAAGTCCCGTACTAAGATGAAACAGCTGTCCAGTGCCTCAAGGTTTTTAATGGTTCTTCAAATGATGTCAGTCCATGAAGAATAATTTCGTAAAAATTCGTTCAGCTAAATTATTCAGCCAAGCATTCATTGGAAAGCTTTTAGTTATCAGTGACCACTTTCTGTGAGAAGTGTTACTTTCCCTTTTGCCTACTTATCTTAACTAAATAGCGTGAAGTTGACACTTTTGCTGTTATCACCTTTTTTTCAATAATTTTCATTCTCTTAAATTAGTGTGCCTAGCTTCTATTTTGTTTACCTCCCAATTTTCAACAGAGTTGTAGCTGAAACCCTAATGTCTGGTAAAACTGTTTGTCCAGAAGCCTTTGATGAAGTGACAATATATTTCAGTGATATTGTTGGCTTTACTACAATATCTGCACTGTCTACACCATTTCAAGTTGTTGATCTGTTAAATGATCTTTATACGATGTTTGATGCAACCATTGACTATTACGATGTATACAAAGTAAGAAATTTCTGTTAATTGTTCATAAATTTTGAAGACATGTTTTACGGCTCAGATTTTAGACAGTCTGGGTAACCAATAACGTAATAAACAATAAACATGAATTATGTGTGTGATAATGCATAGTCTCCTAAAAATGTCTAATGATACAAAGCCTAACTTCAGTGTATAAAATGAAGTGAAACAATGACTTTACTCTGCATGAAACATTTTGGAATAAAACAAAAAGATTTGAAGAGCAAGTATGATTTATGTGATTTTCTATCTTCGCATTAGCAGCAAACAGGCAAGAATCCCATTAGTTAATCGGAACATAATAATGTAGCATACATAATTTAGCTGTAAAATGTACAGATCTGAATCAGAAGACATTTTAAAGTGCGATTATGCTACTAAATGGAGTGCTCAAGAGTTTTAATTGTAGGATGGAATGTATCTCAAAGAGTGAACAATACTTGCTGCAGCGTTAGCAAACAATATTTACTAAGTTCACTGTTTAGTTGTTTATTGTACACTTACTTTCCATTTCGTAATTGATTGTCATTAAACTATGCAATATAAAAAATCATGGCTCCAATAGGAATAGTATCTAGAAATATTGGTAATAAATGCCGTTTATATCCAAAAATGCAGGGTCTTTGAGTTTTGACAACCATTCACCAGGAAATGAAGGTAACCGAAAGTGACGTCATATGAAGCGCCGACCTTGAAGTCCCATTGAATGGTTTAATGGCGAAACCAGATATATTCTTCACCGTAATATGACAATTGTAGCTGGATGGAATTGCATCTTTGGCCCAATTCATTCAAATGACTCTGTTTACAACATTATAGACCTAAGCAATCACTACATTCTGCATGACACGACATAATACTAGACCCAAATTCTGACCCTCCTTCATCTATCCCAGTATTTAACCCTAGCTTCACATGCTATCTGTAGACAACACCAATTTATTAAATACTCATATATCCTCAGTTTTATTTGTGCTCAAAATTCAATATGCGATATACTCTTATAGATTATATGATTAACTATTGCCAGGATACTTCTTACACTGAGTGATTATACCCATAAAAATTTCCATTGCTACTGTTTAAGGATGTTACTTTTACCCAATATTTGTGGCCAGCAATATCTAAACAGTTGCTTACTCTAGAAGACTTTGTATGATGCCACGATTTTTTCTTTCTAAACTCTTTCAGCTTCACTGAGAAAAATGATATTCAGATATTGCCTGTAAAAGTGGTGTGTTTGTTTAATTCATTATTCGAAATATATTATTATTACATTATTATTATTATTAAAATACTTCATGATTACAATTGTTTTGTTTAAAATAAACTAAGGTCGAAACAATTGGCGATGCATACATGGTTGTTTCTGGCCTACCTGTACGTAATGGTCAGTTACATGCAGGTGAAATAGCTACTATGGCACTGGACTTACTAAGTGAATGTGGAACATTTGTTATTCGTCATATGCCAGATGTACCTCTTCGATTACGTATTGGATTGCATTCAGGTAAGAATTATGGAAGTTTAATTGTTCAAGATTATTGTATAGGTTGACACAAACGTAAACTACAGTCTGCATCTCATTTTGAAGGCCATGATGTTATGTAATAAGCCCCTTTTCATTACTCTTCATATACTAAAGATAGTCTCCATTTTCAATGAAAGATACCGATAAAGCTTAACTTATAGTCGCTGAAATAACTTTATTAATAATTAAATTACACGATTCTGGCTTTTGTTAAAGATATCCTGTTTCACCTGAGTAACACAGGAGTCGGAATACTATACTCTTATGTGGAAATTGTTTATATTGTTTAGACTGATAGAGCACAACATTGAAAGCAGATTAATTTCATTCGATGAATGCCCTTTATTTAGCACTAAATAGGAATTTGAGTTATGACCAAAGAAAATATTTTTTTCAAATAGCGTACTATTTACCGAAACGTTACATGGAAAACTGTATTTAAGTTTGAATGTCGGTATGTTGCGTAATGTTGGTAGATGCGGAAGTCGAAAAGTAACACTTTACTTGAACTTGAATTTTACTGTGAATTAGGCGCTGACTATGGTGCTCTTTGTTCCTAAAAGATACTAGATCACTAAGCATATAAAAAGGTGAATATAAGAGTGCAACCAAATATGTGATCTTGCTTACATCCATTGAGGATCTGGATAGGAAGGTAGATAGATGGGTTCAAACATTTATTAAAAACAGTTCAAATACCTGAGAATGAAAGGCTAAAAAGGGAGAACTAATTAAGTTTGCAACAGAAATCGATGTATCTAACATGAGTTTGGAACAAGTTCTTCGGAAACAGATACTTCGACTGAATAACAGAAAGGAGACAGTAAATTTGTCTTCTGTTACAATATACTCTGATCTCTTGAAAGCTTGGAGAAGTGTTACAAGTACTAAATTCCGTCATGTGTCTTCAGTCACAATCATTAATTGATGAGATAGACCATTCTATTCAGGACTAAAAAGAAAAAACTTTTTATGAGCGAAGAAACGTTTCCTTTTAACGACATTATTATCAAGCGGTACACTAGTATTTATAATTGGTAAGTGGTCAGATAGTTGCAGCTGAAACTTGCGATTTCACATGATACACTTGGTAGTAGTAGGCCGGTTGTTGTAGCTGTTCCAGTAACAAAAGGGTTTAACGATTGTCATCGTTATTATCATTCTACACTATTTTGAGGTGATATTTTCCCTTTCACAGTGACATTTTTATGTTTTGTCAACTTGAATGAATCTTCCTACTACCACCTGTTGTATCATATGCATAATGACCGTACCAATTTCTGATATAACTATATCACTGTCTGTCTATGACACAAACGACAGTACAACTTAATAATGAAGTCACTGAAAGAAATATTTCTATTATGATAAAAATTGTGGGCAAACTAATGTCTATGTAGTTACTAGTGAACTGATGTATTCAAAAGTGACGTCAGACATGCGAGGTGCCCTTGTACTTGAGTAATAATATTCCTGATGGTTTGGTTTAAACAACGATATATTACGAAAAATTTTGAGATGCTTTTGTTGAGACCATGATAATATTGTCAGAAAAGAACTGCATTGAAAATGTCGACCAGTAAATAATAATGTATCATTGCAGGCTATAGAAGATAAAGTCATTTAATATGCAATTATCCCATAGTGTAGTGTTCAACTTTATCTTCACAATAAATATATTAGGAAGCGGCCAGCTCTTAAACAGATAAATCACTTTCAGAATCTTCTGACCACTCGCTATGAAAACCGTTGTGTATTTTTTAAGATAAAACAAGCAATGAATGTGAAAAAGCAGTACATGATGAATTCCTGAATTTTAATAGTACTCACCAACTATATACTGCAAATACTTGATTATATATACCACTAGGGAATGCAAAAGAACACAAATAACGTAGACTTACATATCGATTTAGGTGCGAAAACATAAAAATGAATTATTTTTATAGATCAAGTGGTGATGCAAAGGTTAGGAGTGGATGTTCAAAATGGATGGGTTAAAGATAAGTTGTATAAATAATCGAGAGTTTGGATAGTAGTGCAGTCTAAAGAATCATTCTGATCTCAGGTAAGAAAATAATGATGAAAGTGATCAGGATCATGATGTCAACACAGGGGAGAGAACTGAATTGACTGAGGGTAGGATAGGTCATTCAGAACAGGATATTTAGTGGTCACTTAAGACGACAAAATAAGAAAAATAGGTGTTATTATGACGAATAATAATGATACTGGTTAAGTAAGCGAAGCAGATCAGAAACGGCAAACCAAAATACAAGATAGAGGTGATAATTGACGGAGAAGAGCAAATAAGGCAGAGTGGAAATGATTAGATGACGTTGTAATTTTTGTAGTGATAGATTGAAGCTGACTGCGTTTTCCTTCTGAACATTGGGGTTTTAGTCTGAATATTTGAATCGCATAAGCTACTGCAGTTGTAACTGCTTATAATCACAAAGAACGTATAACAATCAATATCATGCACGTAGTCCACTTGGTGTTTCGCTGTCGAACTCCTCAGGTCTTTTTTCCGCACGCCTAATGTATTTAGTTAGGGGCTCAACCATTTGGGTTAACAGACGCTTTTTAGTGGCATCCATCTATTCGCCCACGCAGATACATTCAAATTGATACGTATATATAGACATATGAAGGATTAGAGCCTTATCTTTCCCTAACTGTTGCGATACCTGTTTGTTGGAGCTGAGTAGCATGAGTTTGGTGGCGTAACAAGTCCATCCGATAGATTTTTCCAGCCTTCGCCCAAATACCTGTAGCGTTTCGTCACCTTTAAATAGCAAGGCGATATACTGACATTTTCTGTACTGTTAAGGATGCTGCTCTGCTTCCTACTCATTTTGCAAGCTTTTTGACAAAGCTTTCTGACAACCTATTCTTCACCAGCATGATTTTTAAAATGCTTATTTTTTAATCTACTGTGCTGTCACAATATATTTTCTTGCCTTCAGTAAACAGCCTTTATATTACATCATTTTGGACCGGATTAGGACGAAGCTTGCAAAATAAAGGTACCGAAGACTTCCTATAAATGAACCTTTCGATAGATCCATCGATTATTTTCACTAAGATATCTAAGAATCTAATCATGTAAATGTCATCTTGCTCAGTCGTGAAAGTCAGGTGTTGGTGACATTAACCCAAGCTCTTTAATAGTGCTTCTGCCTCCATTTTACTTTTACATATAATAAAAGTATTGCTCATGTGACGCTAGTTTAGCTCCATCTGATTTCTGAAACGCTTTAGGCTACCAGTATGCAGACTTGATTGGAATAAAACAACAAAGAAGAGACCCAGAGGGCTTCCCATTGCCACCCCGTCAGTTTGAAAGAATAACTGTTAGTTGAACTGGAACTAGACCTTATTGGTACATAGATTGAGGAGTTTCCTCTACTAGTTTGTTAGGATGGAGATAGTACTGACTTCTCATCAAATGAAGTCTATGGTTTTAATAACTGGTACATATATGAATGGAAGTGCGATATCAAATGAAACAAGATGCTCACCAAAAATCTACTCTAACAGGTTGTTAAGTGACTTACTTTTTAACATTAAATGAATATTGTACTGAATGTCAGAGATGCTTATATTTTTTGCTTTTAGTAGTAAAAATAAAGATTTCTAATAATGAGTATTTTATTTCAGGGTCATGTGTGGCTGGAGTAGTTGGACTTACAATGCCACGTTACTGTCTATTTGGAGATACAGTGAATACTGCATCAAGAATGGAATCAACTGGATCTGGTATGCTTCTTTCTTCATATTTTAAAGAAATGCTTATGAAATTTTATTTGATCAGTATAAAAATCTAAGCATCACTTCACGCAAAGGAAGAGTATTATTACATATTCTAGTTATTCAGTTTTTTATACAGAAATTCTCTATGAATAAACGTCAAAATACTGTTGAGTTCTTGAAATGAGTTTCTGAAATTATTTCTTGTTGATGAAGGTAAATCTGCCCCCAACAGGTTTTGAAGGAAATCTAGTTTTAATTAACAGATAATATTTCGCGCCTGATTTAATAGGCGTGTAGTAGTATGTCTTGATATATGAAGTTAATAACATTTAAGTTCTGAATTTAAATCTCCAAATTTTATCAAGTTGTTTGAAATTTCGATAGGAAATAAAAACGTTAATATAGCTGAGGGATTTTTCAGAAGTTGGGTTGTTTGAACAACTCATTTCCTATTTATTTATATTTACAGGTGACTTCGTTTTCCCCCACGTATTCGAGGAGGAGCCTCCATCATTCATTTCAGGAGATCGCTTAATCAATCTACTTACACCTGAGTTTGATTTAAATCTTTTGATCCTTTGCAGCATATTGATTAACTGTGGATTTACTTATCAATGATACGTTTTCCTAACGTGTCTATTACCTGGAGTTTGGTTATGCCGAAAAATTCGGTAACTTTTCTAACACTTAGGTTGTGTGGGAATTCGTAACCTGATGGTTACTGATATGGATATCACTTTCATTATTCTGAGTACCAAATGAAGTCTGACAAATAAATTTTCAATCAGGTCATCAAGTTAAGTGACAGGATACAGCAGACACCGTATTTTGGTGTTAGATTCAGCTGGTTCTTAAACGTTCACAACTGCAGAAAGACGCTACCCAAACAACGACAGTAAATAAATTGAGAGAGGGCTTGAACTTGGAACACGTGATAACAGATGATAACTATTCATAACTGATAAATCGTGGGCATAGGCATATGGCCCATTCATTCTAAGGCTTGTACTAGTGGTATACCACATCAGCTGGAACGCCAAAAGTAAGGAAGCTTAATTTAGACTAGTCAATATGGTATAAAAATAATTTATGTTAGTAATCGTATAGAAATCCCACTGAAGGTATTCATATTGGGATTTTCATTACATTTTTATCTTTGCACTCACTGTTTATCAAAGGTAATTTTATACTCAGCTATAGATAGATTATACCATGTGCTTTCTTCAGTGCATCAACAGTAAGTAAAAATTCATGTGCATTGGATATATTT